GAATTTCCTCAAATGGATTAATAATTACTTGGAGACAAAGGAAGGCAATACAGAAAAAGAAACCTCTTCAAAATATGCAGGCAAACTAATGTTTTGTTGCCACAACTTTTCCAATTCCCTTGTAACCAAACCTTTGACTATATAGTTCTTGAATATATGTTGGTTTACTGTTGTGAGTATAAAAAACAAAATTTATTCTTAAATTATTATTTAATAATTACTGAATTATTTTTCATATTATCAAATATAAACCTGTTTTTGCCCCACCCTGTATATAAGAATTATACATTTTTAAAATTAAACCATGGTATTAACAGAATTATTTGTAAATGATCTCTAAAATTTATTGCAGCATAATAAATAATAATTTTGGTATGAATATCAAAGAAAAATACCCTTGGAATGCATTCCATAAATGAGTCAGATATAAAACAATTTATTTATGGTTCTAGATATCAAGAATTTAGCTGCACACATTACACCATGCACATTTAGTAAAAACTACTTCTTTCACAAAAACATATTTCAATCAACTTTTTTAAAGATCAGAAACTCAGGGATTATTGGGGGGAAGTCCCCCAAAGCGGGAGAAATATACCAGAAGAAATACATTTTCATTGATTTTTACTAATGGTAGAAATATTGCGCAGTATTGACACTAGGTGTGACCAGTAGGAAAAATCAAATTCATCCACCCTATGCCTTACTAATGCATAGGTTGTTGGGGAATTGGCTCACTATGTGTTTGTGTGATGGAAGGTCTTTGGACCTTTCATTGGGGGTTTGGTTCACAACTGGGATGATTCAATAAGTGGCCTTAACAATTACTATTCTTACCAAACATATTTCTCTCTGAACCTTTGCTGGACCTTTAAATGCTCCACACATTGTTGAAAATTCACTCATTTTCCTTATTTCTCTACTGTCCCTGTCCATTGAAGCCAAGGAAGATAGAGAGGCACCCTATTTTCCTCTCAGTCTGAAAATAATGATCAATACTTTGCTTAATTACTGAGGCCTCAAATTAAAGTCAGGCATTTCACTTTATTTTTGTTGTTAAAACATACATTTATTGGGGCAAAGAAAAGAGGATTTTTTAACTATCTTTCTGAACTTGTGCTTAGATTGAATCACTAAAATTGGAATGTAGCATATACCAGTGATGGCAACTCCATACTACAGGATCTAGCTACCTGACCCTCCTAATCAGAGTAGTCATGTTAAATGACCAAGGCCTCTGGAAACTTTCAAATCCTCAACACAACACTCAGCCATTGCTCTATAGGCATGGATACAAGTTGTCCATCCATTTTACCATCATTTGCATATATATAATAAATATAATATAACACAGTATAATAATATGCATAATATACATAAATAATATAATAAATACAATATAATAAAGTATTGATTAGTATAAATAAATTAGGTCTTAAACTTATTTTTTTAAACTTAGTGCATGTTGATGACTTAAGTTTTTATTTTGCTAATACTCAGTCCTGACCCTTGATTCTTATTATTCTGTCTCATTTTTCTCTGGCTGGTCTCTGAGTGCTGTCTGGGTGATGGGGAGTGTGCTGGTTATGTGACCATGGGGTAGAAGGTCTTTAAAGACTCTCTCTATTATCTGTGTAATATTCTTTGTATCCAAGTTGTCCTTTCCCTATTGGCACCCAAAGCTGAAGTCTGAAAGATGAAATGTAGTTTGTTGTTTCAGCTCAGCTGATGCAATGTGGGTGTCATCGTTCATCTCCCACTGGCTGATATAGTCTCCTCTCTGCTTCTGGTGGCCATGGCATACAATGTCTCTGTTATACCCTCTTTCCAAGCCCACATCCAGCAGACTACCATGTGTGGTCTCACATTGTCCTACTGCAGCCTATAGGAAGCTCTAAGGTGACAACTAGGGCTTTGTCTTACCATGCTATTCTGCTCCTTTACCTGGGCTAGAATGTAGTATGTTGGCACTGGGCTTTCAGCATTGAACTTTGAAAATCATGAATGGGCATCTTGGAGACATAACTCTTCTCTATGCCTCTAAATTACCCTAATTTATTTAACTAATTTTAGCTTTATGGGTTGAATATTATCTTGGAAATATGTCTCTACCTTACCATTTTTCTACCTACTCCCTCTTGTTTCCTAAATACTCCAGGAAGAAGGGATACTTTCTGTCAAGATGGTGATGTAGGTAAACATGGCTTTCTTCTTTGCACAACCACACCAAAATTACAGCTAAATTATAGGACAGCCATTATTCATAACTGCCAGAAGTCCAGCTGAATGGAAGTCCTACTACTATGGAATTAAAAAAGAAACCACATCAAGACTGGTAGGAGGGGCAGAGACATAGAAAAGGCTAGTCCCACATTCTTGTGTTGTGGATAAAAATCAGGAAGGACATCTTGAGAGTGAGAAGTCCCAGCCTGACAACAGGTCCCCCATCCCAGGGTTCCGGTGCCAGAAAAGTAAGCCCCCATAACTTCAGGCTATAAAAACCAGTGGGTATTGAGGTGTGGAAGACAAAAACTTCTGGAGTTCAAGGTAGTTACTCTTAAAGGGTCCATGCATGGGCTTACTTGGATTTACTCCCTTTGAGCTCCAGCACAGGGGCAGCAGCTTGAAAGGCACCAGAGGCATACAGAAAGAACTAAAGTGTCTGGGATCAGGGGTAGAATTGGGAGGGGCAAGTTTCTCCCACACAGAAGTGCTAGCAGAGACCATTTTTTTGGTGAGCACTCTTCACACAGAGCTGGAAGGCAGGTGCCATATCTGAGATTCCAGAATCCTGGCTTACACTGTTTGCCCCACTCTGGTGATTCTATGAGGTTGTATTCATCCAGCTTTTGAGCACATCCAAGCTATTTTTAGTAGCTTTTCCGTATAAATAGCTTATCTTGGCTCATGCTTCAGATTTTCCTAAATTCCCTCAAACAAGCAACATATGGCATCAAGAAGCCCCATATTATTTACTAAGTGGCCCCAAACCCAGCACTAGCATCAGCTAGCCTTGGTTCACAGCTTGACCTCACTTGAGTACCTCCAAGCTTAGACAATTAACAGCCACCTGCAGGTCACTTTGTAGCTTATACTTGGTGCCCCCAGACAGAACACAGGCAGTGAACCTTAGCTTGAACCTTCCAGCAGACCTCAGAACTTGTACAGCTAGAGGACAGCCACAGACCATATTGGAGCACTACCACCCAACTACCTCCACAAGTGACACACTTAAGTGGTGGACTCAGAGGGAAGCAGAGCACTGCTGAAATAAGTCCTGCACTGTGGAGTGGCCCCTACACAGCTGATCCTTCAAAATGATCCAAGGTTGGTGGGCATTTGTCACAGCCAGTCCTTGCACCTGCTTGAACTGAGTAAATTCCTTCCATTGACTTAAAAACAGCAATTGAGTATCAAGAAAAATAGGAGGATGTACACAGACCGCACAGTGAGTGAACCTCAAGTATCCAGCTTAAGATAGGGGAAGCTGTGTCAATGCATCCTCCAGGACACCTACTAAATTAGGCTACTCCACTAAGTCAGAGAGTCATAGCAGCTCTACCTAATACTGTTGGGGGCTGGGATAAGCCTGACACAGGCTGATACAATCAGGCCTGAGAGATACGCCTTGAATGGCAGGATGTTGCAGGCAGGAGCCATAAAAACCTCCCCTCCTGGACATGCAGGTAGCACACCAATCAGTGCCTTGATCATGCGCCCACCATGCGCCCCCCGCCCAATCGTGGGCTAGAGCATGCCTTGAAGCCCCCTATCCACTGCACTTCCTCCACTGCCCTCCTCTATATAACTCCCTCCATTTTGAAATAAAATTTGCAGCTTGATCAGAATCCTTTGTCTTGCTGCCATTCTTCGCGCCTCCTGTCCCATCCCCCTTCATCCGTTACAGGTATATCGGCGGACCCCGTTGACTGCCTCACGGGCCGAGGCATAATACAAAGAAACAAACATGGGGAGGCTTCAAAAATATGAGACAAAGAAACGTGGCCCAAATAAAAGAACAGAACAACACTACAGGAAAATCACTAAACAAAATGGAGACAGGCCATCTACTGGATGCAGAATTCAAAACACTGGTTATAAGGATGTTGAATGAACATAGAAGAAGAGTAGATGAACTCAGAGAAAACCTTGCCAGGATAAAAAAAGGACATGGAAATTACAAAAAAGAACTAGTAAGAAATGAAGGATACATGAACTGAAATAAGAACAGATTGCAGAAAATCAACAGTAGAGTGGATGAAGCCAAGAATCAAATCAGTGATTTGGAATATAGGAAGCAAACAAAAAAACAAAACAAAACAAAACAAAACCTGGCCCAATCAGGACAGCAAGATGACAGAGCATGAAATTAAAAACCTATTTGAAAAAAATAATAATGACAGAAAACTCCCATAACTTAGTGAAAGAAATAGACATAGAAGTCCAGGAAGTACAGAGAATCCCAAACAACAGGAACCCCAAAATTACCACAGCAAGACACATCCAAATTAAAGTGACAAACATCAAAGACAAAGAGAGAATATTAAAAGCAGCAACTTAAAAGCAATTAGTTACCTACAAGGGATCTCTTGTAAGACTGTCAGCTGATTTCTCAAAAGAAAATTTCCAGGCTCAAAGGGATTGGCAAGAAATATTTGGTGATGAAAACATGATCCTACAAGAAATAATCACTTTATCCAGTAAAGCCATCATGTAGAATCGAAGGACAGATAGAGAACTTCCCATACAAGAAAAAGCTAAAAGAGTTGATCACCACCAAAACAGTATTATATGAAATGTTAAAGGGTCTTCTGTAACAAGATTAAAAATATGAACAATAAAATGGCAATAAATACATGTCTATCAATAATTGAATCTAAAAAACAAAAGAAATAAGCAGAAAAACAATCATAGATACAGAGAACATTTTTATGGTTGCCAGATGGAGGGGGTTTGGGGTCATGTGGGAAAAAGATGAAAGGATTAAGAAATACAAATTGGTGCTTACTTTGGCAGCACATATACTAAAATTGGAAGGATAAAGAAAAGATTAGCATGGCCCCTGCACAAGAATGACATGCAAATTCATAAAGCATTCCATATTTTTATGGAATTGACTTTTGATCTGGCAATTCCACTGCTGGGATTATATCCCAAGAATCCTGAAATACCAATCTATAATAATCTATGCACCCCAGTGTTTATAACAGTACAATTTACAATAGCCAAGTGATGGAAGCAACCTAAGTGTCCATCAGTAAATGAATGGATAAAAAAAAAAACGATGGTACATTTACGCAATGGAATACTACACAGCAGGGAGAAAAAAGGAGCTCCTACCATTTGCAAGAGTATGAATGGAACTGGAAAGCATTATGCTAAGTGAAATAAGCCAGGCAGTGAGGACAAATACCATATGATATCACCTTTAAGTGGAACCTAATGAACAAAATGAACAAGCAAACAAAATATAACCAGAGACATTGAAATTAAGAAGAACCCGGAAGTAACCAGAGGGGAGATGGGAGGGGATAATGAGGGGCAAAGGGGAAGGGTTTTCAGGAACTGCTATAAAGAACACATGAACAAAACCAAGGGAGTGTAGAAGCAAGGGAGGGAGAAGGGTTTTGCTGGGATAAGGTGAGTGATGAGGAGTAAATGCAGATAACAGTAATTGAACAATAAAATAATGAAATTAAAATAAATACAAATTGGTTGTTACAGTACAGTCATGTAAAATACAGCATAGGGAATATAGTAGCCAAAGAATGTATGTGCATTATCCATAGACATGGACAATTGTTTGGGAGTTGTCTAAGGTACTGTGAGGTCTAGGTGGAGGTGGAGAAAGGGGAAAATATAAGGACAACAGTAACAGCCTAAACAGTAACATTTAAATTTAAAAATAGTCCATGGAGGAGTAGTGCCAGCCTTTCCTGAAACAGAAGCTCTTGAGGGTAGGACCTAGGGGTCTATAGTTTAACAAGCTGTTCTGGTTATTTTGATATAGCTAATGTTTGAGAACAACTGACTTTGGCTGATTCCTCCCTTTTTCTAGACTTTGATGAAAAACAGGTAATTCTTTCCCCACAAATAAATTTAGGTCCAGAGTCCTCAGTGGTTGACCCTGATGAGTGAAAAATGAAAAGAAAATCTGATCTAATCTCTATATTTTAAGGACCAGAGCTCAAATTTTGAATTAATTTTGTAACAAATCCTAATCTTGCTTTTCCTTCTACATTTTTCCCATCCTCCCAACCAAAAAACTACCTTGGGCCAATGAGAAAAAGTCATAATCTTAGAAAGGAAAAAAAAGTGCAGTCATTCATTTTTTTTAGCTATTTAGCTCTTATAGTATATAATAAACTGTATGTAGCATTAAATGTGACCTACATGCTTCATACCACATTATCAGAACACACTTGACAAAAATATGGCCAGGTACCACTAAAGTGAACATTTCTATCTGATCAATACACCACTCTCTAACTTATGAACACTATTTTAAGTCCTGAACTGCTTGAATTCAAAACATTGGAACCACCTCCTCATTACCTACCTGTGATATTTTATTACTAATTACAAAGGATTCTGAGGTACACTGCTTACATTAATTTATGGTTCACATTCTCTTTGATGGCATGGTAATATTTACCTTTTTCCTAATTTTTTTGCTGGATAGAGTACAGATTTTAGAAACTCTAACCAGAAAAAGAATTCCTATTGCTTATACCTGACAAATTTTATAATACTTTCTTTAACATAGCTTAACCACTATAATAATCCTTTTTGTCCTAACTCTTGCAACTGACCAGGTGTTGACACCTGTGTCTTATAAATTAATTGTTTTAGACCCTGTTGATGCAAACCAGTTGTTTTCAATTTTGAGTGTTCATTAAAATTATTTGGAGGGCTTGTAAAATTGTTAAATCAGAGGTAGCTGAACTCATGTCTAATTCAGTATGTATGGTAAGCAGAATAATGTCCCCTAATGATCCACATTCTAACACCTCTAAACTATTGGTTATGTTACCTACACAGCAAAGATGAGTTAAGTTTGCAAATAGAATTAAGGTTACTAATGAGATGCCCTTAAAATAAAGAAATTATTCTGGATTATCCAGGTAGCCCAATATAATCAAAAGAATACTTAAATTTAGAAGAGGGAGGCAGGAAAGGTCAGAGTGATATAATATGAGAACTCAGTTAACAGTTGCTGGCTTTGAAGACAGAGTGATGTAGCTGGGACAAAAAGATTGTGAGCAGTTCTCTCAAAGCTCAAAAGAGCAAGAAAACAAATTCACTCCTAGAGCTTCTAGGAGAAATGAAGGTTTGCCAACACATTGATAATAGCCCAGTGAGAAACATTTCAGACTTTTTGACCTTAGGAACTGCAGGTGAGAAAACATCCTGGTCAACACCTTAATTGCAGAAGGCTAAATAGAAGGCCCAGTTAAACTGTGCCCAGACACCTGATTTATATAAACTGTGAAAAAATAAATACAGTTGTTTTAAGTTACTCAATTTTTGGCCATTGATTATAATAGAAAAGTACTATAATAGTATAGACCAGAGACTAGAATAGACAGAAGTAACCTCTGGCAAGAGAAGAGTCAATGGATCCCAAAGTGGAGTTCATGTCTGTTGTTTCATTCGAGACTATAATAATAAAGCTACCATTTATGAAGCATGTTCTGTATGCTAACTTCAAAACTGTCCTAAAAGTTTTATACCCACTATCTTACTGAATCCTTGAAGTAGCTATTAGCCCACTGTATATATAGATAAATGGAAGCCCCAGGTGATTAGGCCACACTCTCATGTCCTAGACTTAGTAACAGGGCAAGGATTGAGTTATGAGTTTGATGCTAAGTTACACCCGAATCATTGGTGCAGGGGTACCACCCTGAGGTGGCCATCATATTTGGGAGTTTCAGGGCTTTACTGATAACACAGTCTTTCATTGATGACTATGGCTTTCCCTGTGCATTAGCTATGGTATGATAAATAGTAAATGATAACAATTACACTCAGAATTTTGTGTACGTTCATCCTGTGATCTTTCCTTTGAGTCCTGCTGGCCTCAGAGTATCTGCAACATATGCTACTATCTCCTAAATTCTATGTCTGGGAAAAGGACTAAGGTGAAGACATTATTCAAAAGTTTAGATCTTAAGGAAAAAATTAGTACTTTCTGATTTAAAAAAAATGCTTTATAAAAGCATTTAAAATCTGGAAAATAGAGTGCTTTATTAAACCATTTCTCTATATAAAATATTTCTTATAATTTTGCTTGTAATGGATGATTTCTGTACATTCACAAGGACAGGGATGAGATTGATTTTAAACAGACCTACATGGTTGTGATCACATTCATAATTATCTCATTTATGAATCTCAAAACACCCATTGAGTTTAATGAAGTAGAAAATTAAGAGCAGAGGGTTGTTGAGCTCCATGCATACATGCAAATACACTTGTACCTGTATCAGTGCTGGTGTTGTAAAAGTGTTCTCACCTCATATCCAATTCAAGACAACCAACAGGACTAACCCAGTGCTTTGTCTGAAGAGACATCTAAAATATATCAAGGAAATAAATTAGCTGTTGAAAAACTTCATTCACTCTACTGAGCTTATAAAATGCAGCATGAGAATTCATTTAAAATATGGCTGAGGGAGCTAAGAGGGAGTTGTTAATAACCACCATTGAAGGTCTCCAGGCAACTGAGGTAAGGAGGCCAGGGATGAATAGAATTAGACAGGCCCAGAATGACAGCAGATCTGGAGGAGATGAGTGATTTGGGAGCAGCAAATTATAGCATGTTATGGCCAGGGCCAAATTAACAGCGCACAAATGTAGTTGTGGTAAATATCTCCATTCAGTTTTTATTAACAAAATAAGTCATACTCGACCCAGATTTTACAAAGTTGTCAACCTTCTTCTGTTCTTTTTTCCCCAAGATTACTCTTGTGGGTAGTATGACAGGGGAAGATGGGGAGGGGCAAAATGTCAAAGTTAATTGATTTCTTTTTCAAACACTGAAACTTTATATTGCAATTGTCTGGGGATAACAAACACAGGGCAACCAGGTGAGGTAAGACAAGAAACCTATGAGGATTGGGTTACATGATTTAAAAAATGGATAGTATAGTCATCCCTCCCTATATTACAGTTCACTTATTGCAGCGCCACTGTATCATATATATATATAACTAATTCTGTATTGTGGAGTTTTCACTATATTCACTAAGTGAGAACCAATACTAAATTGTTATCTTCCTTAATTTACTTAGGAAGCCTGTGAAGATCTAGTATCTGTATTTAGTGGAAGAGATAACATCAGTTCAGTAGGCTTAAGTGGCTTATTCAGGAACATCCAATTAATAATGTTGGAACCATGGTTTAAAAAGCAGAGCTATTACAAAGAATAACTGCATCGAGTTCTGGCCAAGATGGAGGCATAGGTAGAAACCCTTCATTTCCTCACACAACCAAAAGGAGGATAACAACCAATCTGAAATCAATAAATAACCAGAATCACCAAAAAATCACACTGAATGGAACTCTAACAATCAAGGAATTAAAAAAAATCAACCACAACAGCAAGACTGGTGTGCCAAGACAAAGAAATATGACCCAAATGAAAGAACAGGGCAAAACCTCAGAAAGAGAACTAAGCAATGAGGAGATAGCCAACCTATATGATGGAGAATTTATTTTTTTATTTTTTTAAATTTTATTTAGTTATTTTTCAACTACAGTTTTTTGTCTATTTTTCCTATCCCAGCCTCCCCGCCCCTTGCTCCCCACCTCCCTCCCATTTCCACCCCCCTTAGTTCTCGCCCCTGTGTCCTTCCTATTTGTTCCTCCAAATCCCTCCCCCTTTTTCCCCTTAACTTTATGATGGAGAATTTAAAGCCCTAGTAATAAAAATGCTCACAGAACTGATTGAGCTTGGTAAAAAAATTTTAAAAAATATAAAATATACCCCAAATGAAATAAAGCAAAATATTTAGGGAACCAACAGTGACAGGAAGGAAACCAGGACTCAAAGCAACAATTTGGAATGAAAGGAAGAAATAAATATCAAGCTAGAACAGAATG